GGACTGTGGACTATGAGACACCCCAGCGGTTCACCATCTTCCTAAGCGATGGAGACAGCAAGGCCTACAACGGGGTCTGTGATGCCAACGTGTACCCTGACACTCCAATTGAAAAAGAGGAGTGCACCAACCACGTGGCGAAACGTCTGGGCACCGGCCTGCGGAAGCTGCCAACGCCACTTCCACGAGGGGAGAAGCTGAAGGAGACCACCATCCAGAAGCTTCAAACTTACTTTCAGGTGGCCATTGTGAACAATCGGGGAAATGTCCACAAGATGTACACTGCCATATGGGCCTCATGTTTGCACTCGTGCTCAACAGACGGTGCTGGAAGTCACAAGTTCTGTCCTGCAGGCCCAGACTCGTGGTGCAAGCACCGACGTGCTGAGGCGCAGGGCCAGCCTGCACCGTGCCACACCCCCCTCCTGACCAAGGCCCAGGGTTTGGCAGTCCTCCCAATCTACAAGCGTCTCACAGATGCGAAGCTGCTTGCCCGGTGCCTCCACGGCAAGACACAGAACGCGGCCGAGTCCCTGAACAGCAAAATATGGCTGCTGTGTCCAAAGACCCGGTTTGCTTCCCGGACTGCTGTGGAAACAGCCACAGCCATTGCAGTCCTGTGGTTCAACCGGGGCCACGCGAGCTTTGAAAAGGTGCTGGAAGAGCTTGGGGTGCTTCCTTCGGAGGCCCTGGTTACCCTCAGCGACCGCCGAGACAGCATGCGCATGCACAAGATGAATGTGCGTCAAACCGCTGAGGCGAGGGCACACCGTCGCAGTGCAGCCAAGAGGGCCCGGTAGGAGGAGTCCTGCCGCACCAGCCGGGAAGGGAAAACCTACGGTGCTGGAGAGTTTTAGACAACTGATATTCCCTCTGGACATGTGTGTATGTGTTCAGCACAAGTTTCGTGCTACTGCGTTTTTCATTTTTGTAAATACAGACTTTCAAACTTTCAAACGCGTTTTTCTCATTTCGCAATTTTGGCCAATTTGCATTTTTTGCGGGAAGTGTTTCGGGCACTTAGAATGGTCATACGACGACGAAATTTGGCACACACATTGAGGAGAGTGCGTAGGGTGCCGATATCTACTTAAATCAGCACAACCTATCAGCTGTAAATATCTATTAATAAATTTAATGGTGGTCGAGTGGAAAAAAAAGGGTAGTTTGCTACACAGATGTTTTTTCATAGTTTCAAAGTTGGAGCACAATTTCTAGCTAGATATCGGCACTCTATGGCTAATAGGGAGCAAAAGGAGCCATTGAACAACTCTCTGCATGAACATTTAGTATGCGCGAAAGTTCCCGGAAAACTTATCAAGTTTCACCATTACTTGAAACACAACTCCCAAACTATTGCACTTATGTAAAAACTGATTACAGATTTGGAATCAGGAGGAAAAACTGCATCAGTGGTCCAATTTCTGAAGCTCTAAGTTGAATAACAAAAAAAAAGTGCTTTCGAGGAGCGTCTCCCCTTAAGCTTTGTGGAGGACGAAACTGTTCGCAAGCATTGCCAGACGAAAATAACTGCGTCCTTCCGCTGATGCCGGACTTGAGAACTTTGTTTCCGTGCGGTGTTGTGATTGTGTTGAATGTGTCTGCGAGTGAAAAGTGTAGTAAATTGCTTTTGAAAAGTGGGTTGCCCTTTTGACATAGGCAAAGGCCGAAAAAAGCATGCTTTGGTTATAACGCCTTACCGCTTATAGCGCGGATTTTTACTACTCCCATGACTTACGTTATAAGCGGTCTACACTGTTGTGAAATCGAAAAAATATAGCTGATCTGAGCTAGCAAAACAAAGGAACGTTTATTCTCAATATTAAAAAAATTTCCGCTGTTTCCTATTCCTTCCCAGCAGCATCATGACGTGACTCTCACTCATGCGTAGCGAGGCCATGGGGAAAAGCACGCTGAAACAATGCTTAAAACCGCCTTCATGAACGAACCAAACAGTCGCAATAATTAACACCAGGAGCTGACCGCCGTCAAAAGTATCGGACAACGCCGAGATGGAGGCAGGGTACTGTGGAGCGGCTACTTTTTCATTATTCTATGCCATTCTTATAATCTATCTCGTGTGGCTAGCTGATTTTGTTGATTTGGCTAAGTGGGAACATAATGATAAAGCATTGGAAAAGGCATCGTTCTGTGGTTACACCCAGCAGCTGCGGGAAGGAAACCATGAACTGAGCGACTGATCTTCAGCTTCGGATTGTCTGCGCCTCAAAAGCAAGCCAGTGGAAAAAGCAGGGCCAATGCATTGGCAGGGCAGTCTCATTGCCATCGCTATCAAGCAATGGCGGCGCCCATGCTTGCTGAACAGCTGCGGTATAGCGGCAGTTTGTGGTGGTGCCAACGCGTGTTTTAGACTTCGTTAACGCATTTTCAGGCTCTGAAAATGCATCGAAATGTTAAAGATTAAGTTTACTGCATGAAAATAAGTATCTGAGCTTGAAATTCCATTGTAAAATCTCGTTGAAGCGGGATGATCGAAGAAAAAGTGTTCGTTGTGGCGACAATATTTATGTATTGACTCCTATGGACTGCAGACGGGGAGTCAGGAATTTTTGTTGAAGCGGAGTATCTCGACAGCGCGTCTCTGCCGCGGGAAACTTCAAAGCTCTCCCGAGCCTTCCAATCATGAACAGCTTGCTCCTCTCCTGCGCTGCCGTCGTCGCCGTGGGTGGCAAAAATAGAAAGTGCAAGAACTCACAAACAAAACTACCAAAATGCCGGAGCTTCGTCAAGTGGTCAAGAAACTGCGGTCACGCGAAGTTGGGCTGTTTTGAGCGCTCCTGTGTTGCTTGAAGGCTGCTGCAGCTTGTAAACTTTATTTCAAACAGTTTCACGATGAGTTAGGCGTTCATGTTTACAGAAAAGGTAGTTTATGACACGTACTGCCCGAATATGTGGTTTCCCCAAAATTGACTTTTTCGCAATTTTTTCCGTTTTCAAAGGCCGCGTCCCTCTTTAAGTTGCAGGTATGGATCGGCATCGGCCTCCCCATTTCTTAAACAATAATTTCCAAAACTTGTAAGGGTGCTGACACTCCCTGTAAAGTTGTTTGCCCCGCATGGCGCACGTGTCTTGCACAGAAGCTGTATTTCGGTGGTGACAACCATCGGGTGATAGATGGCGGTGTGTTCGCTTTGAGTACCACTGTTGGTAGAGTGGTAGCGCTGGCGGTGACCCCTGGCGGAAGGCAGGCCTTGGTGGCGGACGAGAGTTGAGCGAGCCTCTTCTGCACGTGGCAGTTGCCACGTACGGTTGTCTCCAGCGTGGGTCCTCGGCGTGGGGCACCGCGTACCTGCGCACCGGGGGCCCACGTGGTAAGTCAAGCGTTGACGCCGCCGCCGTGGGTATATTATTGTGCCTTTTGTGTGCTCTTGTATTATGTTGTTTGAGTGTTTGGTAATGTTGTGTTATGATGACTTAGCCTGTTTATAACGATTGATGCCCCGCCGCGGTGGTCTAGTGGCTAAGGTACTCGGCTGCTGACCCGCAGTTCGCGGGTTCAATTCCCGGCGGCGGCAGCTGCATTTCCGATGGAGGCGGAAATGTCATAGGCCCGTGTGCTCAGATTTGGGCGCACGTTAAAGAACCCCAGGTGGTCAAAATTTCCGGAGTCCTCCACTACGGCGTCTCTCATAATCATATGGTGGTTTTGGGACGTTAAACCCCACAAATCAATAACGATTGATGTATCATTCTGCGGACGATATCGTCGTCTAAATTAGTTAAATAAATGTGTGTGTGTATGTGTTTGTTTGCCCCGACCGCGTCTACTGTGTCGGTTCACTCCAAGAGCGTGGCGCTCGCTTGCCATTTCGAGAGCCCACAAACTGCATGGAGAATAAAGCTTTACTGTGTCAAACGACGGAGTGCTCTGTGTGTGTGTGTACGTCAGTGTCCTATTCGTACCTTAAACTTCAAATATGTTAAACCAACAAGCCCAGTCTGCCATTCCTACATGGTGAAGCTAAAGTGAGGTAAAGTACAGACTAGGCATGTTTGTTATAATCGCTATATGTGTGTACTGTATAAGTGCAATAAAAATGAGTCAGTTTTGAAAATTTGGGGTAGTAAACTTCCAACATTGAGTGCCGCTTATGGTCCTTGAAAAACTTGACAAGTCCTGGGAAGTCCTTGAATATCCTTGAATTTTCACTTTGGAAACCTGAACGAACCCTGCCTCTGGTCTGCTGCATCTATCATCTCTATGTTGGAACCACTGTTTTTCCCTGCCCCGCCGTGATGGTGTAGTGTATAAGGTACTCTACTGCTGATTCACAGGTCGGGGGATGGAATCCCGGCTGCGACGGCTGCATTCTCGATGGAGGCAAAAATGCCGTAGGACCGTGTGCTCTGGTTTTGGCACAAGTTAAAAAACCCAAGGTGGTCGAAATTTCCGGAGCCTTCCGCTACGGTGTCTCTCATAATCATATAGTAGGTTGGGGACTTTGTCAATCATCAATCAACCACGATTTTCCCCTAGTAATACGTTTGCGGGACGTTGAACTCCACATGTCAGTCATCAATCAACCACCATTTACCCCCCAAGTCAATACATTTGCGTAGCAGAGTCTTAAAGGTAGCTTTGCCACATTGTGAGGGTATGATGAGGTCAAGCATATAAATAATCCAAAGGAGTCATTGCCAATGGGGCATTTATTGTGTTTGTCTTTGAGAAGTTTGAATACTTTGAGTAGTAAAATTTCGAAGCATATCAAACGCTTATAACACTATTCGAAAAATATTCTAAAGTTCAAATATTCGCTCATCCCCAATGATCTCTTCTCTAGCAGATTGGTTTTAAATAAATTGCAGCCTGTGGTTGGGCGCTGCTGAACAGGTTGTTCTGCACTTTTCATATGTTTTCTCGCTGCATTACGCTCGAACTCTAAAAGAATGCTTACAAAGTGGGTAAAGGTTTCGGACTGCAAAGGGTTAAATATCAAGTTTCAAAGCTTGAAACGCACACTCTGGTGTTTGTGCAGGCCCAGCCATGATGCCACAGTACTATGGGATGCCTCCATGGGGTATGTTCCCAACGCCAGCAGCTCCAGGCCTCCTGCAAGGCCAGGGGGGCCAGGGTGCACCACCCCAGCAGGTGCCACAGCAAGTGCAGCAGCAGATGCAGCAGCAAATGCAACAGCAGGTGCAGCAGCAGATGCTCAGAGGCAGTGGGGCACGACCCATGACACCACAGGGAAGTGGCGAGCCACTGTCTCAAGCACCTCCGGGAGGTGAGCTGTGCAGATTCAATTTACACAACACACACTGTCAAAGGAACTGCGCAGCATCTGTGCAATTTCAGTTGTCAACCATTGTCTCAGGTGCCTGCTTTTTTTTTTTTTTTTTCTTTAAAGGATTGCCTGGTTTTTGGAGGTGTTTTAGCATGTCGTGTATTTCGGTACATGCGGTAGCTTTTTCATAATACCCACGAACATAACTATATGAGAAATGAATACAATAAACCCTTGGTGATACGTAATTCACTTATGTGAAATGTTTGTATCCACCAAAATGCGTATTTTGAAAAGTGCCTGAATGGAGGAGGGGATAAAAAATGATTATAATTTATTGCCAGTGAAAACAGTTCCTACTATTCATGGCGTTTTCTTCATGACTATATCATCAATGGTCACCTTCTGGGTTGTGTAGGTGTACATGATTTTGTGTAATGTTCTCACATGCCTCAGCATGTCAAATGCATGTTGCATTTTGGCCGTTGCAACTGCAGCACGCGTAGTCTCCTTCCTTGCTGACCAAAGCATCAAGCTGTGATTCGGAAAGTTGTCTGGCCATGTCCTCCACGGTACTCAACTGCAAGTCGCACGGTCTATATCCGTGTTGTATACTTTAAAAAAAAAAAGAGAGAGAGAGAGAGAGAAAAACTTCAAATTCGGGGAGGGGCATTCCTGTGTTTCACCCTTCAGTTTTCACTTGATTTGTTTACTGTGCTTGCTTGTAGTTGAGTTTGACATGTCAACATATTGCTGTGTACTTAATGTTAGAGTGCAAGCTGTGTCAAAAGGACATGCCCTATCATCACGTTGTACATTCAACTGCAGGAGGCCAGTATCAAATGCTAGCACCTCCCTACTACGACCAGAATGGATCGCTAATGATGGGTAACACACGGGCAGTCCGCCTTATGCCGCCAGTGCTGGTAAATCCAGGTGCACCAGGAACCAGCGCTCCCAGCCAACCTGGTGAGTGAGCCACTGAGAATCATCACCCGCCTTTGACTCGATAGATGCATAAAGGGGGCACGTGGCAATGGAAACTGTTTTTTATGCCGTTTGTTATGCTGATACCATAGCCAAATTTAATCTTGTGCTACCATTTCACGTAGTAATTGACTTACGACACGATAGAGTGATTGTCATCCCTAAGTGAAATTAATTTGCCTCAAGTTTCGCCTATCAGGGGTGGAAGTGCTGTGCCACTAACTCAGAATCGTCACTAACTTTGGAATCTAACTGGGAATCGTCCACTGTTGCCCTTTGACTATGTACCATCCATTTCAGCCTTTTAGGCCCATGGAACTCCCAAGAAGTCTTGGTGGCTTTGAGCTGACGGGCGGCCCTGTTGTCACTGTTTAGTGAATAATCAATCACTTTCAACGTGAAAACAGCCGTGTAACTTCCATATCGCCCCATAGTGTTACTACAGAACATGAAACATGCTGCAACGCACACTTGCCACTTTGGCTTGGCTTGGATTAGATTGGGGCTCCGTGCATTAATAGTACGCATCATGCCTAAGAGATGGTGCCAGTGTGTCATGGGCTATCATCAGTGGTTGGAAGGAGCAGATGACATTACTACTGTATCATCAGGGGTTGGAAGGAGCTGACATTACTACTGCAATTTTCGGGGGTGCTACAATTACTCTTGGGGAAAAAAAAATCCTATCTTTGCTGAGCAAAGGGGATGTGCCATAGACTGCTTGTAAGTAGCAAATGACAGAGATATCATGATTCATTAGTGTTCTTACTTCAACCCTAGCCAGTCTCCAGCCTGTAGCATCAAGGTCTAGTCTGCATTTTGGGGTTTGGCCAATTTCATGCAGTGATTTAATACTGAACTTTCGCCCATCATGAAGCTCTCAAGGCCTTGGACAGTTGTGACTGTCCAAGGCCTGCATCTTCAACACCCTTGCCTGCTCGAACTTGCAGGGTCCCTGAATGGTGGCAGCCTACGCTTGCTGGGCTCTGGCAGTGCAGGGGCAACGGCTGGCAGTGGGCCCCCTCAAGGTCCCCAGGGCTCGGGTCTCTTCTCTGCTGCAACCGGGGGGTCTAGCCACCCGTTTGGTGCTGCTGGTTCAGGAGGCTACAACCCGGGTGCTGGTGCATCTGCCTTCTCCGGTGGATTTGCATCTGGCCTTGGGGTTGGCTATGGGGGTTCTTCATCTCTTGGACCCATAGGAACATCACCTGCTGGCCCTGTAGGCTTAGGTGCGTCCATTTCCAGCGCGCTGATTGGCCTGGTCTTCAGAGGCCTCAGGAGGAAAAGCCAAATTTCTAAAATGCTCTTTCAAACTGCCCCCCCCCCCCCCCCTTATTTTTTTTCACTAGCCAGTATATTTTCTTGTGTTGTAGAAAGCAATATCAATACAACAATATAGCTTCAAAGCATGCCTGTGAAGTGAATCGGAAGCTATATTTGACCTGAAAATAGTGCTTTATATTCAACCTATAAATAGAGCACATAGAATAAAAAAAACAGTGTGCTGTAGAAGGCTTTATGTAAAATAATCGCAATAATGCAGACGGATTTTTAATACCCAATTCAAAATTAGCTTGATTTCCTACCATATTCTTTTCACAGTGCGCAAATTAAGTTCAAGGTGTCACAACACCACTTACCGTAATTACTCGAATCTAACGCGCACTTTTTTTCCGGTTAAGCGAGTTCATAAATCGCATCCGCGTTAGAATCGAGTACAAAAAAAAAGAAAAGAATACAGTCATTCTATTGCCATCGGCATTTCCAAAATGGCCGCCCCCTGCGTGTGTCGGCATGGCGCGTCGCCCATTTCTGCCTATGTGTTTCCCATGTGCGGCACTTCGTACGTGTGCTGAGATGAGGAGTTCGTCATCTTGTAGTGCATTAGCATCGACGGAATGGAAGGGCCGACTCCAAAAACTCGAGTGCACCACGATGCCGCTTTTAAAAGTCATCGCGTGTGCAGAAACGGACGGAAATCGGGCCGCATCGCGGTCGTTCAGAGTTTCCGAAACGTGCGTGCGGGACCGGCGGAAACAAAAGCAGAAGATTATCGGCAGCAAAGCTTCACGCAAAGGCTTCAGTGGACCACAACAGGGTCGGTTTCCGCAAATTGAATAGCTGCTCGCCGAGTATGTGCTTGAGCAGCTAGTCGCACGGCCTGTAACGACAGAACTCTCCAAGTGCGAGCTATGTAGTTAGCCTTAGAAAAAAGGGCTAATGCGGAGCCAGTTTAAAGCGAGCAGGTGCTGGCTAACTAACTTTATGAAGAGGAAAGGCTTCTCCCTCCGAAGGTAAACAGGCCTATGCGAAAAGTTTTGCGGAGGGGTACGATGAAAAGCTTCACAGTTTTCACAGGTTCGTCCTAAACTTGCGGCACAACAACGGCTACCTCCTTGGGCAAATCGGGAATGCCGTTCAGACGCCTCTTTACTTCGACATGCCTGGCACCACAACCGTCGAGAAGAAAGGGTCGAAGCAAGTTCGCGTGCCGACATCGGTCCATGGTAAAACTACAGTGACGGCAATGCTCTGTTACACGTCAGATGGGCATAAGCTTCCCTCGTACCTCATATTTAAATGAAAGATGCTCCCGAAAGGAGTAGTTTTTTCTAATGGTGTGATCGTGCGGGCCGGCGAAAAAAAATGGGTGCACGTTGCAACCGAGGGCGCGGTAGAATCGAGTGAATACGGTATACAGACTGTTCTTTAAATAATAGATTCTTGGTTCAAAGCAAACTGATTTAGGTCACATAATTTCGAATAGTATATATCTCGTATAAAAATAAATGGCATATTTGTCATAATTTTTGTCATATTACCTACACTATCTTTTTCAATATTGAAACAAGGCCAGTGCAAATGCCTTTTTTTTTTTTGTAGTATAAATAGAAACAACTTTAAATTATAGCAGGATTTGACTTTTAGTAGAATACTAGGGATAACTTGTTAATATGATAAGTTTTAAAACTTATTTCACTTTGGGCGTATAAGCCGGTATAACGAGCTATTAAACTTTAAAAATGAATCTATGTGAAGGTAATATGTTCATTTAACCTAATATATAGTAGAGAAATGTTTTCAAGACTTAGCACTTTTTTACGTCAGTGAAACTATCTTTACAGAAGGTTACATGTGGACTTGCATACACCTGTTCATTTATTTATATGCTTTGAATACTGTTAATATTGGTTCGAATATTTGAAGCATTCAAATATTTCTGTAGGCTTATTAGATACTCTCAAACCTCGTTATATGCCCCGCCGCGGTGGTCTAGTGGCTAAGGTACTCGGCTGCTGACCCGCAGGGCGCGGGTTCGGATCCCGGCTGTGGCGGCTGCATTTCCGATGGAGGCGGAAATGTTGTAGGCCCGTGTGCTCAGATTTGGGTGCACGTTAAAGAACCCCAGGTGGTCTAAATTTCCGGAGCCCTCCACTACGGCGTCTCTCATAATCATATAGTGGTTTTGGGACGTTAAACCCCACATATCAATCAATCAAATCAAACCTCGTTATAACGAACCATAATTTAACAAAATATTGGTTATAACGAAGTAAATGAAGAACAGTCTTGCCATAGATATAGTGTTAAGAATAAACCTTCATAACGAATTTTTGGATATAAAAACCTTATTTGTGTGTCAGGTGCAACTTTGTTATCGTGAGGTTTGAGTGTGTACATATATTCGTTCATTTTAAATACTTCAAATATTTGAGTTTCCAGAACTTTTGCCCATTCATATATTGGTATACTCTTGTTTGCTTTATAAGGGGGACACGGGTCTTAGAATGCTAAAAATCGCAAAAAAAAAGTCAACATTTTAAAGCTGACATTTTCGGAATCTTACCTATTTTCACACCTATCTGAGAAGTTTCTAGCTTCTCGGGTCTATATTTCTGGTGCAAAATCAATTTATAACATCTCTGTAATATGATGGTGAGTGCAAATTGATGCTTTTTCCGCGCCTAACTGTTGCCGTTACACACGAGCTATTGTGTTCATCTTGGTCTCGTTTGGAAGGGTTGTTCTTCATCTTACATTTCCCGCCACCGCTGGCTCGCCTTGCTCATTGGTTTTTCAACGAAATTGCGTAATCAAGAAGCACTAGCACGCGATTTTATTGGCTGCTTAGGGCATGTGAGAAAACCTAGGCATCCGATTGGCCAAGTGGCGCTTCTGGCGTCTGCTTCACCATCGTGACGCGCACGGACATGCGCCATTTTGTCATGGTGCTACTGACTGCCTGTGGCAGTGAGGAAGTTTCGTGCTACAGTAATTTGTGAAGCAGGTGTGGCCATCGTTCATTCGATGGTAACGTCAGAATGAGCTCTACTATTGCTCAGGACAACAAGGATAACGAAGTTGCTGCGGTCAACAGCAGTCGCCGAGTCACCGGTGTAGGCCTAACTCACGTACGAGCCCGTTGGTTGCCGACAACATTACTCTTTTGCTACCTCATCAGTTAGAGGACAGCAAGTAAAAAGCAGGGGTGAAGCTTCAAGAGATATCAATCTTTGTAGTGACAGAACGGAAGCGCAGCCTTATTGCTAAACGCGCCAATGCCGCGGTTCCCCCCAGCCTGACGAAAGTATCTTAAACTGAGCGACGGGTTGTCAGCTTGGAGTATGCTGCGCGTCGACAAACAACAGAAAGTCAATCCGTTCGCGGTGAATGTGCTTGCCGCCCACGCAATGGAGGCTACTGCCAACAGGTAGACTGCTTTTAAAGACGTGTTCGCAACGTTGTTGTGGTCTCCGCTCAAAAATGTGGCAGTCTTGCGTGAAAAAGGAAACTAACAACTTGGCACTCGTGTAGGCTCGAAATTGATGAGCGAGGGAGCAAGTTTGGTTCGCAACATTTACGGGTAAATTATTCTGGACAAGCCGGAAAACATTGCCGTGTTATTCGACGGATCGCGGATGGCGCGCACATTCGTCGCACATCGTTGTCAGTACCGTCGAAGAACTGATAAGCGGCCTTGCGGCAGACGGGCACACGGTGACAACTTGCTATAGGACTTGAAGAAACGACACGCTCGTGGAAAAAATCAGTCCTGTTACATTCCTGGTGCTTATTAACAGGCTGAAAGTATGTGTGCTATGACATTTTTCACTCCGAACGGCAAAATAGTTTTAACAACATTATTCTCGAAGCACAGATTTTGACCACTTTCTTTTGCTTGTTCGGTAATAGTGGACCTAGGACAACTAGAGCTGTAATTGTTTTTGCACAATGCAGCTAAATGTGCACAAAAAAAAATAATGCTGAGAGCCTATTTTTAATGGGCAGCTTCGTTTTTTTATTTTATTATAAAATTTTTTGTTTTTGGTTACATGCAATGAACTTTATTGTGCTGTAATTCAAGCAGTACTAGTTCAATTATCGATCAGCTTGCAGCGCTGCACTCCTTAGGCTTTCTAGTATCCATATACAGTCGAGCCCACATATAACGGCCCCATTTAAAACGAACTTTCGCTTAAAACGAACAATATCTGCGTGACCGTCAAAATATACCGTAATTACTCGAATCTAACGCGCACCTTTTTTCCGGTTAAGCGAGTTCATAAATCGCATGCGCGTTAGAATCGAGTACGAACAAAAAAAATTACGGTTAATCTATTGCCATCGGCAAATCCAAAATGGCCGCTCCCTACGTGCGTCGGCATAGCGCGTCGGCCATTTCTGCCTATGTGTTTCCCATGTGCGGCACTTCGTACATGTGCTGAGGAGTTCGTCATCTAGTAGTGCATTTGAATCGACGGCGTGGATGGGCCGACTCCCAAAACTCGAGTGCACCACGATGCCGCTTTTAAAAGAAAAGTCATCACGTGTGCAGAAACGGACGGAAATCGGGTCGCATCGCGGTCGTTCGGAGTTCCCGGAACGTGCGTGTGGGACCAGCGGAAACAAAAGCAGAAGATTGTCGACAGCAAAACTTCACGCAAAGGCTTCTGTGGACCACACCAGGGTCGGTTTCCGCAAATTAAAGAGCTGCTCGGCGAGTATGTGCTTGAGCAGCGAGTCGCACAGCGGCCCGTGACGACAGAACTGCTCCAAGTGCGGGCTATGCAATTAGTCTTAGAAAAAGGTCTAATGCGGAGCCAGTTTAAAGCGAGCAGGTGCTGGCTAACTAACTTTATGAAGAGGAAAGGCTTTTCCCTCCGAAGGGGAACATGCATATGCGAAAAGTTTTGCGGAGGAGTACGATGAAAAGCTTCAGTTCCCAGTG